GAAGGTGAATACAACATGGGGTTGATGTCCTCCTTCCAATTTTAATTTAGCCCTCTCCCTCTCCCTCATATACCTGGCACCCCTCCCTCCTCCCCCCGCCCTCCGCTAATCTACCTGGTTAGAAATAGTACTCGAGAGTAGGTGTGATATGACCTCGGGCCTTCTGGACCAGATGTAGGGCCACTTCCATGACACCACAAGAGGTGTTCACCTTGGTTTTATTGCATTGTCGTTGATGTGCATTAATTGAACAACTGAAAACACTGGATATTTAAAAGTGGTGGTAAACGGATGAAATTTTTCACGGGGGTTTGATAGCGGAAAAGCCCTTCAGTTATGTTTGATAGCAATTCTGTCTAAGAACATTTTTTGCAATCACTTTCACAGGGTAATGCGCATTCATTAATAGTCAACTGGTTAAAATATCCGTTGTTCGCGGAGAAAATATGCTGGAACGTGCAACACGTCTCTGTTTAAAAAGCCATTGAGAATGAAGTGAAATCAGAGCCTGGAACCATTGTACACAAATGAAGGATAGAGCAAAGCCCTCTTTAATAATCTCAGATGCTATGTCCTCGGCCAGAAGGCAAAAAGAGAGAGGAGCAGAATTACACCATTCAGCCCATAAAGTCTACTCCACTTCTTTCATGGCTAATATGTTTCTCAACCACATTCTCCTGTCTTAACCCTGTAAACTTTTATCTTCTGACAGATCAGGGAACCTATCAGTTTCTGTCCTGAATACACTCAGTGGAGCACGCTCAGCATGATGGCTCAATAGTTAGCATTGCGACCTTCCAGAACCAGAGACCTGAGTTCGATCCCAGCTGCAGGTGACTGTGTGTGCGGAGTTTGCATAATCCCTCCGACGTGAGTGAGTTTCCTCCAACAAAACAGACCAAGGTGGACAAAGACGAAACAAGGGTAAAAGTTAACCTCAACACAACAGTCATGGTAGATGCAGAAAAAAGGTTAAAGAACGTGATTGCTGGAGAACAGCCCTTTGGAGGGCTCTGCTGCCTTCAGTTCTCAGACACTGGGTATATATTATGCATGCGCCCTGCATATCAAAGACCGACAAAAATGATGTTGGATGAAGTGCATCCAATGAAAGGTGATAGATCGTGAAAAGGGGAACGTACAACGGGAGCTGAGTGTGCTTGCACCCCAGTTGCTGAAAATAATCATACAGGTGGAGAAGCGATGAAGAAAGTAAATGGTATGTTGGCCTTTATAGGAAGAGAATTCGAGTACAGAAACAGGAATAAAAACCAAAAGAACTGCGGATGCTGTAGTTCAGTTCTGAGGAAGGGTCACCGGACCCGAAACGTTAGCTCTGTTTTCTCCTCCACAGATGCTGCCAGACCTGCTGAGGTTTTACAGAAACAAGAATGTCTTGCTGCAATTAAACAGGGCTTCAGTGAGACCAAACCAGGAGAATTTCGTGCAGGTTTGGTCTCCTTCCCTGACGAAGAGTGTTCTTTCTGTGCAGAGATTGCAACAAAGGGTAATCTGACTGATTCCTGGGATGGCAGGACTGATGCGTGGAGAGTGTCTGGATCAGTTAGCATGATATTCAATTAGGTTAGAAGAAGGGGTGTGGCTTTGGAATTTTTTAGAAACCTATAAAATTAAGACATGATTGGACAGGGTAAAAACAGGAAGAGTGTATGTGACCCATGTACCCCTACGAGGTAGGCCATTTCGGACTGAGATGGGGAGAAATGTCTTCACACAGAGAGTGGTGCAACTGTGGAATTCTCTGCCACAGAAAGTGGTTGAGGCCACAACATTGAACGTTTCTCTCTGTTGGCTCACGTCCTGATAGGGCTTTAAGAGTTTGACCCTGTCAAACAGAGTAAATGTTTTGAGCCCAGTATGAATCTTCTTCAGAACTCTTCTTCTGAAGATGGTCACTTGACTCGAAATATTAACACTGCTTCTTTCTCCACAGATGCTGCTGTTGAGTTTCTCCAGCTATTTCCGAGTTAATTTCAGTTCTTTTTTTTTTGCCTTAGAAGTGGCTATTTGACGCACGGTGGTATTGCACACTGTTTCATCATTAATTCCATCTCCCATGCAAAAGCAAGTTCCATAAAGCATGATGCCAGAATATGAGTGCTACTTTCAACATTCAAACTAGTTCTGTCTGGAAATGATACAGTAGCAAGAACAAAAATGCAATAAGCTTCGCTCTTCCTTATCAAATACAAAAAGGAGGATTCAGTTCTCTTTTTGGATTCACAATGGCCTCGCAATGTGCTATAGATGACAGAAAATCGGGGCTTTCATCAGTAGGGGAACTGTTGACGTCACTGGGGCTTGTGGGGAGATATGTGCAGAGGCAGAAGAATACGCAACTTTCTTCCTATCATTACGTCAGGATCAATACTGAGGGGGGATGTGAAAAGTGAAGCTATCATCTTAGACAAAAACACAAGGAGCCATGTAGGAAAAGTTGAGTTGCCTCATTCCCTAGAGTAAGTTAACAGAAGGTCTGAGAGAAAAGTCAAACCAATGTTAGGTTTTGCTACGGTTTATGAGAAGAAACTGTTTTCATTGAAAACAGAGTTGGTAAACTCAAATTTGACGATATTCGTAGAGGAAAATGTGGAAGTTGAAGAAGTGTTTCCTCCTGACCGCATGAGGAATTAGGATCCAGAATATATTTCCTGCCAGGCCAAAGTAAGTAATTATGAGAAGATATTTGGGGAGTTAGGTGAACAAGAAATATTCGCCTCCCTGCGGGGAAGAGCAAGACTGAGATGAAATTTGAAGTTTAATATTACAGAGGCAGAATTGAACCATTGATCCTGCAGGATCTGCTCAACACTGTTCTCATTATTTATTAAGTAGGAAGTGGGGCTTTGAATTTTGATTTGCCACATTGACAGTGATGAATCATTGGAGGATCCCTGCATCACCTCAGCCAGTTTTATTTTAAATCTCTCACAGTATGCAGCCGTATCTGGCTGGACCAGGAATTGTTGTCTACTACTTATTACCAAGATCATATATGGAAGTCAGCCTCATTGTTATTGATCTGAAATCACAAGTAGGATAGACCAAGGACATATTTTCGATTTCTTTCCATAAAGGACCTGGTGAACCAGATGTTTTATATTTTTTCCGACAATAGTTTCATCGTCATCATGAGATTCCTAATTCCAGATTTTTTATAGAATTACCATTGCGCCATCTGCCATGGCAGGATTTAACCCGGGTCCCAGAACGTTACTAGGTTCTCTCAATTAATAACCCAGTAGTAATACTGATAGAGCATTGCCTCTCCGTAATGTTGTTGGGTCATTGGAACTGAGACAAGCTACATCGTTGAACAGGCTGATAATTTTAAAAGCCAAAAGAACTACAGATGCTGTAAATCAGGAACAAAAACAAAGTTGCTGGAAAAGCCCAGCAGGTCTGGCAGCATCTGAAGGAAGAAACAGAGTTAGCCTTCGGGTCCAGCGACCTTTCCTCAGAACTGATGGTGGCTGAGAAAACATCAGAGGCTGATAATTTTGATGACTGTATATATTCGAGCTTTTCCATGTTTTGGTCTTACAGTGACACGGTGAAGAAGGGTTTGACACTGTTCTGAGCCTCTTTTGATCATTGCAATCACCAGCAGTTTAGTAATGAACGATTGCCTCTCATATTTCCATATTCAGCCCTTTTTCAGGCTCCAGATCTTCTTACTAGCTTAAACCTGTCCTTGAACCCTTTTAAAGACAGGTACCCAAGCAGGTAAAGGAGTTCACTGTCAGCTGCTACTCTTTGCCACCACACTAGCAATACCAGTACATACTTAAGCTATTGGTGGATTTCAGTTAATGTATACCGGCATCTCCTCCGTTTTCCAAAGTATTCGTAAACAAAAGCCCTCCTGAAGCCAGAACAGAGGAAAACTGAGAAACAGACTGATCCAACAAATACTGATACAATGAGGATGGAGAAACGTCATCTGTCAGCACACATGAAAACTGCCATACATGCTCAGCTTGCTTTGTCTACAAAGAGCGGACACATGGCTGAACACCTAGTTATCAATGAGTGTACTTCGTCCCATGCCAACGGAGTACACGTGGCCTCATTACTGATTGGTGACAGAGGCTGCATCTCGATCTTCTCACATACCATGCCACCAATTCTGCCACAGTTGCCCCGCCCTCTAGTCTAGTGATTGCTGTCCCTCACTGAGATGGGTCGTGTGCCCAAATCCATGCCCAATCACTGATAAAGAGGGAGCACGCTGTCTGGGCCAATATTTTTTTTTTAACATCAAGAAACACATCTGGGCATATGAGGAATGTTTAGATGATATCTGGCAGAAGCGGATATTCAGTGAAGTGTGCCCTGCCGAGATAGTTGAGAAGCTGTTTCAATTACTCCTGGCTCTGTATTCCTTCCTGTGTGTAGGTTAAGCGGATTGGCCGTGCTAACTTGCCCCATCACGTCTAAAAATGTGTGGGTGGGTTAGCCATGGTAAATATGGGATTTTGGGATTGGTTGTGGGTGAGTCTGGGATGAAAAACTCTTCGGAGTGTTTGTGCAGACTCGATGAGCAGAATTGCCTCTTTCTGCACGTAGGGGTTTTATGATTCTGCTGTGCTAAAACAGGATTAGATATATATTTAAACACGATAATGTTTACTCCGCCTGCAGAAAATTTAAGTCACAAAACTAAGCAGGACACAGTTTAGAAAAATAACAGTTCGGCCCTAATAGAACTCTCTGTCCTCTGCAAATTATTAAACTACATGAGACTATTACCTCTGTTCGGCGAGGGACCCTTGGACTTTGATTGGATAGTGAAGCTCATCTAAAATTTTAGAGGATGCTTTTACCCCATTTCGAAGTTATAGGAAGGAGTGTAATTATCAGAAAGGAGTAGCCGATTTATGAACGTTGTGTACTCGAGCTTTCCAATCTATGTGCTCACAGTCCAACCGCTCGCTAGATTTTTTCAAAAACCCTGCATTTGTTTGTATCACTGTGATCATTGGCAGCGCAGAAATAAACCGCAGTATCAGCTGCCTCGAGCTTCAGGATTTTCAGGCTGCACGACTTAGTCATGCGCCTGGTGCCTTTGAATCTTGCCTTGAAATCATCTTCGAACGTGGGCTCTGAGGTACCAACTGAGGTTGCTACAAGCTGCAGGGCTGCTTCACTGAGCTGGCGGTACCAGTACATGTAGATATAGCTAGTGTCGTTTTGGTAACAGTGCATCTCCGCCGTCTTTCCCTTTTGTAGAGACAAACACTCCGGCCATTGGGAGATGAGGGCGCTTCTACAAGTCGCTAAAGGAAGAAGGTGGAGAGAAAAGGAATTCGTTTGAGGGTGAATTATGAATTGTTTGCGGAAACCCAGATGTGTCCTCTGGTTTCCATCATAACACACTCTTCTAAATACGCCCGCCTCACAAAGACACATCATTTCCCCATTTTAGAGAGATACAGTGACCGCAGTTGATCACTGGTGTGGGCATTGTGCCCGGTTATTTGGATGCTCAGCACTGCCAATTCCAATTGATGGACAACGAATAGTGGCTCATGAAATGAAGATCAGAAACAAAAGGAAGATATTTACAGAAGCAGGGAATAATGCGGCTTCAAAAGGTGCATTGGCCCAATTAATTTACCTCTCTGAACATCGTTCAAGCAATTTCCAGTTCCAATGTATTCCGCACTATCACCTGCAAATAATATCAATTCCGACGTTTATGTATCTCCCTGACATGAGGTACAATTGTCGCTGCTTCTCTGGCGTATAAAACTTTCTGCAGCAAGACAACTCTTTTTTTTGACAGTAGACAAGAACGAAACATACAAATGATCTGGCTGACCGAAAATCCACCACAGCACCAAAAGCGAGTTAAGGCTGTCTCAAATATTTCACCAAGACTGGAAAGTTACCTGGGAGCAGCAATAACAGGAGATGTAGAGAAAGTGCACCAAACATTTTCCCTCCCAACGTGGGACAACTCTCACAAAAATGCAAACCCTCTCGCCCTGCCGTTGGATTCAGTGTTCAGCTGTGAATGTGACATCATTGCCAGAGCTTCCAGAAGACTTCCTCTGTTTCTATATAAGGACAGGCAGTGTCTGTCTTTGACTACGCCGGTAACTGGGAGATATAAGCCACCCACTGCAGGTTCATAGAGATTGGAATGATTTGCATGAGTCTGTTTTCTTAGGGGGTGGGAGGAAAGCAATTCACTTCCTGTCAAAGGACGGAACAATCGGTTAGATGTCACATCACTGCTCCATTTTGTATCTCAGGACAGACACAGAAGAAGAAAGCTAAACTGGGCAGAGTGTTGCGTCTGGACAACCAACAACTCGGTGAAAGACACTCTTTGGTTTTCCCAGAACTTGTTGGTCTTCCAGAACAAGGAGTTGACCTCGAAAGAATGTTGCAGATTGGCACATTCTAAGGTCAAGAACGACATGTTGGGGGACACACTCATGCCTGGCGCAGCTGCCGCCAAGGCGCAGTGGGAAAAGACAACTGTCTGAAATCTTCCTGCTGAAGTTAAATGGGGATCTGTTCAGTTATTGGACTCTCCTGGTGCCTCAAATGTATGTAAATATAGTCTGGTTCAAGTAAGGCTTGCCTTTCGTTTGTTTGTTAGATCGAATCAAAATCCAATGTCATTTTTTTTCTTTTCTTCATATGCTACGGTACAGAACTAAGCCATGTTTATATATATATGGGAAGAATTTATTAATGAATAACATATATTTTTGAAATAAAAGAAAGACTTCTCCTCCCAGCGTCCGTTCAGTTCTCAAACCACCCTGTTGCCTCAGAATAAATGTAAATAGCTTCCTGCACGGGCTGAAAACGCGTCTATTTTCACAACTGCAAGGGCGATCTGAGAGATATCAAATTCCAATGTGTCTCTTGGCATTTTTTTCTGCCTGCAGAAACTGAATAGAGCAGTTTGATGACTTGTTGTATGCACGTTTCTTTTCATCAATTAGAGATACTTTTGCAACATAAAAACTCTTCCACTTTTGGAGGGTTGTTTTTTGGCAATGCCACAGCGTCTTCCCAAAGCCAAAATTTCAACTGGATATTGGAATTTGATGGGGTGAAAAATTAGATATTATATAATTTTCAATGTACCCGTTCAGAAATGTTATTATTTATCTCTGGAGCAGATATGTATTCAACTCAGGCTCCCTGGCTCAGAGGGAGGGAGACTACTTCTTCTCCACAAGAGCTCGGGGTGTGATTACGGAGAAAAAGAAAGTGTTACCATCGTTCACAGCTGACTCTAATTCAACGTGATAATCAAAGAGCATTGACAAACTTTTTTTTTTCAATCTCTTGATTGACTCAGTTACTGAGAGCTACCATGCAGCTCCCCAGAGCTGGAACAAGGAGATTGAAATCTTGAGAAGACATTTCGGAACATAATTTGTCAGCAAGCAATTGTCGCCCTTTGAGGAGAATGGAGTAGTGAAATTAAAGATACACGATATACGAGCGGTTTAGTTCATAAAATTTAATTCGTTTCATCTGGTTTTACTTAGAAGTTTATATGTTCTCCCAGGTTAACATGTCTAAGTTGCCATTCTGTATGAATGCAGCAGCTATTTTGACAGTCTCATGAACAATTTCAAAACAATTAAAAATTTATCAGGATCAGCAACCAGCAACTCGATGTTCGATTGCAAAAATCACCTCAATTGCCCAAGTGCTGTTTCAGGAAGAAGGTAAGAAAATGAATTGCTAGCTAACCTTTTTACAGGAGGAATAAAAAGAAGGATGGTATGAAGAAAGCATGGACATGCTGAGATCGTTTTCCTCACAACAGAGGAGATTGACAATGGACATGATCGAGATGTATAAGCTTATGAGGGGCATAGACAGGACAGACAAGAAGGAATATTTTCTCTTGATGGAGGAGTCAATGACTAGGGGAGTAGCTTTAAGTTAAGGCACAGGAGGTTCGGAGGAGATGTGAAGAAAATCATTTTCACACAGATCGGGGAGGTAGTCAGAAACGCACAGACTGTACGTGTGGTAGAGGCAGAAACCACCATTACATTGAAGAAATAATTAGATGCGCACTTGAGTTGCCATGGCATACAATGGTTTGGGAAATGTGCTGGAGAATGGACTCTGAATACTTAGGTGATTGTTTTTTAACCAGCTTAGACGCAATGGACTGAGAAACATTTTTCCATCCCATAGACCTCAATGATTTTATCTATTGCTTCGGACACACTGGGAAATAATTTTGTTCACTCAGGGCGTTAGGTCGTACGGCAGGGAAGTCTACATGAATGACCAACCTGTTGAAATCTGCCAGCAGAGGTTTCCCCATCGCGTGGCTCATGGGATAACAGGTTGGTAAGTTTTTGAACCAGTTCTGAGCCTGTTAGAATCGCTGTGATCACTTGCAGCGCAGTAGTAAATTGCAGTATCATTCGGCAACAAGCTCAGTAATTTTAGGCTGCACAACTTCTGACTGGGTCTAATAACTTCAGTGCGCCCCTTGAAACTGTCTTCTGGAGTGCTATCAGAACCGAAAATGGAGGTGGTAACGAGCTGAAGGCCTGCTCCTCCGATCTGGCGGTACCAATACATGTAGCTATCGCTAGTGTCGTTTTGGTAACAGTGCACCTCCGCCGTCTTCCCCTCTGCAACAGACAAGCGGTTGTCCCATTGGGAGACGAGAGTACTCCTGCAGCCAGCTGAGGAGAAAAGGGAGAACAGACATGGTCAAGTTTGTGCCACAATTCACTACGGAGAGGCAATTTCCACCGATGGCACCAGGAACTCCCATCACACCCATCCCACCCACCCACAGCCGCTCGACTCGTTGACATTATCAGATAAAGCAGCAGACCTCTGGGCACCCAGTCACTCTGGAGCAAAACTGGAGCACACGCCGCATCGCCACGATTGACTGCAATGCCGATTACTTGCGGAGACCCAGGTGCATTGTCTGATTTCCTACATTCCACACCCTTCCAAAACTGCCCGCTTCAAAAAGACAACGCATTTCTCCATTATGGAGAGAGAGAGAGACCTTAACTGCTCACTGATGTGGGCATTGTGCCCGATTTTCTTTGGAAGCTGGGCATTGCCAATTTCATTCCGCTACGGGATAGTTTTTTTTAAGGGTATAAACAAAGACGAAACTTGTAAAAGATCTGACTGACCAAAGTTCGTCTACGTCACCAAAAGCAATTGAGACCGTCTCAAATAGTTCAGCAAGGCTGGAAAGATACCTGGGAACAGCAGTAACAGGAGATGCAGAGAAAGAGCACCGAACATTATCCCTCACAACTTGGTTCAACTCTCACACACCACAAACCCTCTCGCCCTGGCACCGGATTTAATGCTTCGCTTTAGATGTGACATCATCACAAGTGCATCCAATGGACTTCCTCTGTTACCGTCTAATGAAAACCAGATATCTTGTCTATGAATACCCACCAGGTAGCCTTGCAAGTTTAATGAAATTGCCCACCCCTTGCAGGTTCATACAGATTGGATCGATTTACTTATGTCTGTTTTCTTTGCTGGTGGAAGTCAAGTCATCTCATGTCAAAGGACTGAAAAATCGGTTAGATATTGCAGCATTGGTCCATTTTGCATTTCAAGATGAATACAGAAAAGTAAGTCAAACTGAGCAAGCTGTTCCGAACAGGGTCCATTAAATTCTCAAACCACTCTGTTGATTCAAAATGTATGTAAATATTTTGATACGCGGATGGGGGTGTGGAGGGGGTGGGGGGAGTGCCTGTGTTTTCACAACTGCAAGAATGGTCTGAAAGATGTCAAATTGCAATGCATCGTTTGGCATTTCTGTTTTCTCTCAGCAAAAACTGTGGAGAACAATTTGTAGCCCTTTTGTATGCGCATACTTTTTATGAATAAGATATAGTTTTTCACCATAAAGACTAATACTCTAACAAGACAGCTGTTGTTGCAATACAACAAATACAATCCTTCCTGTGCCAGAGAAGAGAGATTTTCAATCAAACAAAGTATTTTGGTGGTCTGAATATGCAGGTTTAGGTATTTTGCAATGAACATGTTCAGAGATGTTATTATACAGCCCTGGAACAGGTGTATTATGAACTCAGGTCTCTTGGCTCAGAGGTAGGGAAAATACAACTGTATCATTCCAGGTAGCTTCTGATCAACCTGCTCAGCGATGTTACCACACACCTGGGAAGAATTTGGGAATTGAACCCGTTTCTCCTGGCCCAAGGATACTACCACGGCTCCAAAAAAGACCATGTGTGATTAGAAAAAAAAAAATTTCCATTGTTGGCAGCCGACTCTGATTCAAAATTATTATCAACGAATAGTAATGAAGTTTTGTTTTCTCTGTTGATTTTCTCAGTTACTGGGAACTTCCATGTAGCTTCTCAGGACTGTATCAAGAAGATTCCTAATCTTGAGAAGGCATTTCGGAATTTCATTATTTTATCAGCAAACATTTGCCGCCTTTGAGCAGAAAGATCTGGTGAGATTAACAAGATCTGATAATCAGACGTGAAATTTCGTTAATAAAAAGTAGTTTGCTTCATCTAGTCTGACTTCGAAACTTATTTTGAAACACACGGGTATTACTCTAGTTCAATACGGCTAAGATGCCATTCTGCATGAATGCAGGAGCCATTTTGCCCATACAACACAGAGAATCTCAAAAAAAAGTTACAAAGTTTGCAGGAGCAGCAGCCTGCAAATTGATGTTTGATTGAAAGAGTCAACTCAATTGCCTAAGAGCTGCTTCACGAAGAAGGTAAGAAAGTGAATGGGAGGCTATCTCTTAATGCAGGAGGAATAAAAGGAAGGTTTTAATTGTGAAGAACGATTGGGCAAATTGGGGTTATTTTACAAGAGAACAGCCAAGCTGAGGGGTTACAACTGAGATGCATGAAATTATGAGGGGAGTAAACAGGGCAGACAGTAAGAAATGTGTACACTTGGTGGAGGTATCAATGACAAGAGGGTATAACAACGGGACTGCTGGCTCAGAGGTAGGGTAGGACACTAAACTACAAGAGCCGCTTTTCTGCTCTACTGTATGTATTCCCACTTGAGGCATTGTTTCCGCAGCTTCCGCCTTAATTGAACATAGAAAGCTACAACACTGCCAAAGAATAACTGATAATCTTCGTAAAGATCTTGTTGTTCCTTTAACAACCAGAAGTTATATTGCTCGACAGTGGTGGACAGTAACCTGGTAGCATCAGTAACAGTAAACACACATAGACAATTCGCAGCATGATTCTGCAACCCAACGCCGTCTCAAATCATCGTCGACCAGTTCCTGTTTTACAAGCTGTTTTGTTACTGCCGCCGTCTCTCACTTGGTGACTGAATGCGGAAGTTGTATCCTTACAAGCGCCGCCAATAGCACACCTCGAAGCGACGCACTAGGCTGTCTCTAATCTGCCTGGTTTGCACTCATAGCTTTTATGGGTGCTTTGCAATTTATTGTATAATTTCATAAAGCTACGTACCTGCCTTGTGGAAATACGAATGATTCAAAGGCAGTCCTGCACAGATCACAGAAGCTGAATGCAGTGTTTACTACAAGTGTTCCAAAGCACGAGGTGTTTGGCACACTTTTGTTGCATTTATTCCTGGGATGTGGTTTGGCCAGCAATTATTGCCCATCCCAAAAAGACTTTGAGAAAGTAATGGTTTTAGGATATAGAAATGTAGGAAAAGACCCTCGAGCCTGATGCACCATGCAATGATATTATGGCTGATCTGTGGCCTAACTCCATATATCTGCCTTTGACCATTATCCCTTAACATTTTTGTTTAATAAACGTTTACCAATATCGTATATAAAATTAAGTGATTGTTAATAAGTGATCATAGTAACTGTCATTTGTGGAATAGACATCCAGACATCTGCCAGTTTTGATTGTCAAACTGCTTCCTAACATATCTCGTGATGGCCGAGCCCTAATCCACAGACGATGCCCCTAGGCTTTAGAACCTCCAACCAGTGCAAATGGTCTACCAATTACCGACCCCGTGTTTTCCAGATAATATCTTGAAGACCTTGTCTTTTACTGTTAATGCTTTGAAGGAAAGCTCGTTGATGAAGCCAAAGATAGTTGGGCCGAGGACACGACTCTAAGGAAGTCCAGATGAGCTGAGATATCTGACTTTCAATCATCTCCCTCCAAGCTCAGAATTAAGCAAACCTGCATTAACTGCTCCCTCTGGCATCACGTAATTTCACTTTTAGTAGTGCCCTTCAATGTCACAATAGATCGACTACGACCTTGATGTCAAGGGCTGTCATCCATTACTTATTCTCTCATGTTCAGATTTTTAGTCCATGTATGTAAATAGACTGTAATGAGGTTAGGCGTTGAGTGTGCTGATAGATTTCAACTGAGTGTTTGTAAACTGGTTATTCTCTGAAAGTGCCATTTGGTAACAATGTCATGGAGTCTTTGAATTAAACAGCACAGAAACAGACTTTTCAGTCCAACTTATCCACACCGACCAGATTTCCTAAATTGATCTCGTCCCATTTGCCAACATTTGGTCCATTTCCCTCGAAAAGCTTCCTATTCATATACCTATCATGATGCCTTTTAAATGCTGTAATTGTACCAACCTTCACAACCTCCTCTGGCAGCTCGTTCCAATCACACACACTCTCTGCATGTAAAAGCTGCACCCAGGCCCCTTTTACTGTATTTAAGTTCTCAACTTAAACCTATGCTCTCTAGTTTTACACTTGCCTACACTGAGAAAAAGACCTTGGCTATTCACCTTATCCATGTCAATTACACTTTCTCTCAATTTGGGAAAGCCTGAGAGTAGATGGATGGCGTGACAAAGTGTCGGAGTGGAATAGTCCTGCAATTTGTAGACAGGACATAACTGGCAATGTTCCAGATTGCAATCTGGGTGCCAGGATTGTGGCTGTGTGAAGCATCTTGTCTTGCAGCCAATGCTGGAACACCAGAATATTATCAGAATAACGCCAAAACCCACGTCCTGCACAGTAACATTGCATCCAGCTGTGTCCTGATATCATATGGAGTGAATTCAATTGACTGCAGATTGATGTCGGAGATATATAAAACATCAGAGGAGACAGAGATGGATTGTTCACTCGGCAGTTCTGTCTGTAGGAGTTTCTAAATGCTTCTCTTTTGTAATGAGGTACCATGCATTTCCACTATTGAGGACGAGATTGTTTATTCTATTTGTTATTTACATGTACACCACCATCCACAAATTGACGTGTTAGGAGCATTGTTGTGCTTTGATGCGATCTCTTAGTTTTGAGACCGATTATTTCTGCCCATTCTGTGCTGTTAGGTACATGAGTAGTCTTTTGTTGTAGTTTTAACGAGTTAACACCTCATTTTCAGCAGGTATTATGCTTGTCCAGACATGCTCTCCTGCAATCTTCGTTGAACCACTACTGATGCCATGGATTCATTGCAATGTCAGACAAGGTGATATGTTGAGCCGTGAAGTGTTCATTATGGATAAATAGAATTCTGATAATTCTGAAGGTCCGTAGTGCAGTACTGGAACAGCCACATATGTCCGGTGACGACAACAGCAGGTCAATGGCTAGAAATCCTGCAGTGACTAACTTGCCTCCTGACTCCCCGAAGTCTGCATACCAGCTGCGAGGTACAATCAAGGGTATGGAACAGTTTCGACCTGCCTGAGTGAAGATAGCTTCAAAAGGAGTCAACAATATCGACACCATCCTAGCTATTTGATCCACATCCGAATACCAAAATTAAACATTCACCCTCAGCAATATATGCTGTGTATGTAAAGATCAGAACCAAATCAAAGTCTCCCCCAATGCATCTCCAGCATACATACCAATCTTTTTCTAGCTACTATCACTTCTAAAGAAGCGTCACTAGATCCAAAAGTTATTTCTGCTTTCTGTCTACAGATGCTGTCAGACCTGATGCGTTCCTCCAGCATTTCTATTTTTGTTTCAGATTTCCAGCATCCACAGTTTTTTGATTTATTTTATTCCACCGATACTATCAATGCTTTTAGAGAAGGGTGGGCAACACAGGGGGTGGACAGCGTCTTATCTCCCCTATTCAACTCCATTTTGATTCCTCCTTCTACCTCTCTCTCCCTGACCTTTAATTGCACCTCCCCCAATCTACCTGTTCAAAGATAGCATTGCACTCCATCTGGAGTCGGTAGGGAATGAAATCGGGCCTTCTGGATAAGAGGTAGCGAATCTACCATGGCACGATAAGAGCCTTTCATCTTGGTTTTATTGCATTGCCCTTAATGTGCATAAATTGAACAATTGGAAACACGGGCGA